GACTGGTTGTGTGACCTGGCTGAGTGCATGACCTGGCTGGTTGTGTGACCTGGCTGAGTGCATGACCTGGCTGGTTGTGTGACCTGGCTGAGTGCATGACCTGGCTGGTTGTGTGACCTGGCTGAGTGCATGACCTGGCTGGTTGTGTGACCTGGCTGAATGCATGACCTGACTGGTTGTGTGACCTGGCTGAGTGTATGACCTGGCTGAGTGCATGACCTGGCTGGTTGTGTGACCTGGCTGAGTGCATGACCTGGCTGGTTGTGTGACCTGGCTGAGTGCATGACCTGGCTGGTTGTGTGACCTGGCTGAGTGTATGACCTGGCTGAGTGCATGACCTGGCTGGTTGTGTGACCTGGCTGAGTGCATGACCTGGCTGGTTGTGTGACCTGGCTGAGTGCATGACCTGGCTGGTTGTGTGACCTGGCTGAGTGCATGACCTGGCTGGTTGTGTGACCTGGCTGAATGTATGACCTGGCTGGTTGTATGACCTGGCTGAGTGTATGACCTGGCTGGTTGTGTGACCTGGCTGAGTGCATGACCTGGCTGGTTGTGTGACCTGGCTGAGTGTATGACCTGGCTGAGTGTATGACCTGGCTGAGTGCATGACCTGGCTGGTTGTGTGACCTGGCTGAGTGCATGACCTGGCTGGTTGTGTGACCTGGCTGAATGTATGACCTGGCTGGTTGTGTGACCTGGCTGAGTGCATGACCTGGCTGGTTGTGTGACCTGGCTGAGTGTATGACCTGGCTGAGTGTATGACCTGGCTGGTTGCATGACCTGGCTGGTTGTGTGACCTGGCTGGTTGTGTGACCTGGCTGAGTGCATGACCTGGCCTGTTGTGTGACCTGGCTGAGTGCATGACCTGGCTGGTTGTTTGACCTGGCTGAGTGCATGACCTGGCTGGTTGTGTGACCTGGCTGAGTGCATGACCTGGCTGGTTGTGTGACCTGGCTGAGTATATGACCTGGCTGAGTGCATGACCTGGCTGGTTGTGTGACCTGGCTGAGTGCATGACCTGGCTGGTTGTGTGACCTGGCTGAGTGTATGACCTGGCTGGTTGTGTGACCTGGCTGAGTGCATGACCTGGCTGGTTGTGTGACCTGGCTGAATGTATGACCTGGCTGGTTGTGTGACCTGGCTGAGACTGTGTTACTACGTGGGCCGATGCTCATGCGCTCAACCACTAGATTGCCCGCGTCCAGTTGTTGTACACAAAGTGATCTGCAATACTTCTGCATGCCTTAACTCCCATTTGTTAACTCAGACATTCGATAGTCGTAGAGCTTCAATCGGTCATCTTCCCGAGGCAAGGGCGTTAACTGTCTATGAACTTCCAGTTTCCACCCTTGTCGAACTAGGCTGGAATTATGGAGTAATATTATGACTGGATTAACGAGTTCATGCATAGTCCAATCAAAATCGCGTAGCGAAATCGACATCCGGTTCGTAAACTGCCATGAAGATTTCGGTCGATTGCAGGATTTGCAAAGCATGTGTACCGCCAACTCGGTACCAGCAGATGTTTTCCAAATCTTTTCATGTATTTAGTCAAGGTGCTCACGTGCTTTGATGCACTTCGCGAAGTAAGACCCGTTTTATTACAATATAGTATTGATTATCGGTCAGATAGTCTTGACTGGGCGCCGCCATTTTGTTTGAAGCAAATGCAAGTGATATGAGAGGTGGAATCTGATTGGTCAATAGGAGGGTCATAGAGAGGCAGGGACCAAGGCATTTACATACCCAGCGTGTACTCCATTTGGCTTTAACCCTATCATTGACCAGATGTACATCGTCATTGTCTTATTGTTAGTGTTGGGACAATGCAGATGTCCATCTGCGGTTAATGATGTAAGAATAGGTCTTCAGCAGCCCATGTATATCTTAAGAGGCAACGAACGGGTCGGGTGGTCAGACTGGCTGACTTGGTTGATGCATGTCATCGTATCCCAATTACGTAAACCGATGCTCATGATATCAATCACTGGATTGTCTGGTCCAGACTCGATTATTTACAGACCGCCGTTATATAGCTGGAATATTATCGAGTGCGGCGTTAAACAACAAATAAACTATTGTTGGTGTTACCATTGTCAGCTCATCGGCTTCCTCGTTATATTGTTATCTTTGTACATCCTACCTCGTGTAAACACATCAGCATGCGTATACTAACTCAATACGCTTACGGCATTTCTCAGAAGGCCGCAAAACACCAATCCAGTATGCTGATGATATATCCCACCTTAATTGAATTCTGACATAATCATGATGTTATTGTTGTAAGAGTGAGTGAGTCGGGTTTAACGCCGCTTTTAACACGCCAGTTATATCGCGGCGTGTCGAACTATTCACCTGATGAAGGAGCAAGAAGTAACCCTGAAAAGCCGTTACAAAAAAAAAAAGAACAATGCTGAATATTTTATCCATAAACGTGTCCTGCTTTCAGGTCCTTCACGGGGAAGTCGGTACTTGTTTCCCCCGGCTCAGCAGGAAGTGTTGGTGCAGCTAGGAGCGTGCGTCATGTCTACAGCGTGTTGTGTTTGTTGTTTCTCACTGCCACAGTCAGCAATACTGCAGCAATACGTCGGCGGCCTGTAAATAACCCGGGCCAGGACAAGCAGTTATTGACACGAGATGTCATTTGCTGATTACAAATATACATAACTTCCCATTATACAGGACAAACAACACAAGCCAGTCACGCACTTAACGAGTTCTGTACAAGTTACACGTCTGTGCTTATAGGACATATGACACATTTCCTATGTTCAACCAGTAACCAGACTTTCAGATTACATTGCCATCGAGTCCAAAAAAATAGTTCCCGGTCATGTGATCAAAGCTTGACATCTTACAGGAAGTTCGTCATAATAGACAATGAATTTCCTGATTGGTCCAAAACAGGGTTCGTGAATATTGATTAGGTTTCACGAAACGTTTTAAAGTAAGTTCTGATCGAATTTGAAACGAAGCAAACGATAAAATGTTGATCGATTATTAGCCATGCTAAGTAAATAAATAGCTGATAAGGATAAAACTCTTTTTGATAATAAAACAAACACATATACAAATGAATACACAATGCCATTTAGAAAGTGGTCAAATGTAACAAATGTTATATTTGGGATAACACTTTCTTAGTAAAGCACAGATTCTCGTACTTTTTGGGGTTGAGTCCCGCCCGCTTTCGGCCATTGGAGCCGTGCCAATTTACACTTGTCAGAGGGGTACTCAAAGTACGTGATCTAGACTACCAGTTGTCGGACTTTCATTTTTGTGGAAGCCTCGGTGGCTGAGTGGGAAAGATCGCTGACTTTGTGTGCTGGCGATTAGGTGCTTCACTCTGGCAAGTGTGGGTTCGAATCCCGAAAAAAAAAAAAAAATAGCAAAAGTACGAGAATCTGTACTTTACTAAGAATACACAAATATACATATTATTTGCTGAAAAACGGAGGTACAATTGCAAATGTACTGTACCAAAATTTAATGTAAAATACCACCAAGCTATCAAGAGGTGAGGTGAGGTGAAATGGGGTTTAACGTCGCGTCCAAGATTATTGCACTTATATAGCGACGTGCATGTACGTGTGTGTGTTTGTGCGGACTGATGTCGATTAATAGTGCTAGCTCACTGAGATACCATGCCGCAGTTTAACATGAATATCCCACTCAGACACAGTATACTGACTCCGAGCCGACCAGTCCTTGTTTTAGCCCCTTAATGCCGAGCGCCAGACAGGGTAACAACAAGAACCATGTTTTAACGTCTTTTTGTATGACGCGGCCGAGGATCGAACCCCGGACCTTCCGCTCTCCGGGCGGACACTCTACCACTAGACCACGGAGGCGGTCTACCAAGATATCAAGAAATATCCAGCCAATTTCTATAATCATGCGTAGCAGGAAGATATTTGCCAGGTCTCCAAGCACGTTCGTTAGCTGTATAATACACAAGTTTGTGAAAAAAAATGAAGCAACACTATTTGTAAACGTCACTCGGTGTTTTTTTATATATATTTTTTTCCATTATAGTACAAACATGACATAAATATGAGATATCTTTGTAAGTTAAATGTTTTCAAGAAGTACGTAAAGACTGTTTGGTATTTTAATTACGTTTTATACTGATTACAACTACCTCGTTTGTAAAAAAAACCAACAAACAATACAATATTCAGATCTAGAGTTTGCACCTTACAGTGGAGTATTATCCCCATGAGATTGTTCTCATGGTTTGGTTTCGTCACTTCAACTTGAGCTTTATAAAGTATTAAGAGAAGTGAAAGTGAAAATATTATTTACATTGTACAGACTGCAAATTGATTTCTGATATAACTGTGGGCGAACAGGAAAACAATTAGAAGAAAAAACATTGATTTTTGCAGTATTTTATGGCTACATATTATAGCTTGCACAGCAAGAATCTGAAAAGGGGCTTTAAGCAGAGCAAATATTTAAGCAAAGGACCAAATTAAGGCTGACATTGTTTACGTACAGTACTGCGCATGTTTCTTTACCATTGTATTTTATAAACTCCTCATTTAAATCGTTTCACAGAACAGTTTGTTCGGTTTTTTTAGTTTTCACCAATTTCCTCTTGTTTATTATTAAGCTAGAACCGAGAACTAAGATGCATATGGTTTTACTCGACTTACACCCGTTTACTCCACGATGATGTGGAAATATAATTTTCAAGTAATATATATACCCACGTAGATCTATATGAATAACTGATACGTTTCAGTAAAATTGTCAAACCTTCTAACAATCTACATGATCGTAATTATTTTGATTGGCCACGTGCGTTACAAAAATAATGCACTGAATAGGTCATTGACACTCTTAGTGTGTCAATTAGATCTATCCAACTAAAGTCTTTTCTTGTCCCAAGTTGAGTTTCTAAAAATGTAGAAGCAGTTGTACTGAAATATGACCTTGTGAGACCTTCAAAGATGATAAGAACACGGCAAAGTGGTCCAAGGGAGATCACTCTAAAGTATAGGTCAATGCTGCCTTGGTGGAGTTCCTGCTTGTGTCGGTGGTGGAATTGAAATAGCATACTCAGGTACAATTAATGCACTTTTTGCGATATGGATAATTATTGCAGCATGTTGTTGTTGCATAGTGTGATTCTCAAGTTAGGGTTGAATAAAAAGTGCTTAGTGTTTGGACTTAGAATACTGTCTACTCAACCGTGTAAGGGTTGTCCAGTTTTCGATCAAATGATCTTTTTTACTACAAGAGTAGTAAGACTTAAAGAGATTACTGCCAACAACTTGATAATTTAGTAGCGATTATTAGGTCTAGCACTAAAGAAATATACAACTACCGTATATGTCCCCTGTCTTCTCTTAATGATCTACTAATGAGTAAATATGAAAGTTAGTTTTTATGTCTGTATGTATGTGTGCGTGCGTGCGTGCTTGCGTGCTTGCGTGTGTGTGATTGTGGATTACAGTCAACTTTCACTAAATTTTAAGGTAGTCGAACACTTATTTAAATTAGACAGGAGCATAATAACTATTCATCATAAATCCTATTCAGCGGTAGAAACTAACATTTTTAGTCCACTAGTCCTTATAATGATAACATGTAACCATACTCTTAAAAATGGAAAATTTCTACGTATCCTTATGATACCTTAACTATTGGGCAGTTTGGCAAGGACTACAGGACTAGTGCCGATTTCTAACGCTGCTTGTTGATATTTTTGTTCTGGAGAGTAGACGACACTCACTAGAATCTACACATTACCGTATTTCCTCTATTAGACGCCTGGGCTTCTATTTATTTCGGACAAGCCTTTGACCCGGCGTCTATTGGAGGCCTGGCTTCTATTAATACCCCCATTTCACTATGACCTTTTTCAAATGTTAAGTCAAAGCCACGCACTCGTGACATATCGGATCGAGGACCGTTTTCCGACAAACGTGGAGAAAGGGGGTCCTCATTATGTAATATAGGTCCCAAAAAGAGATCATTAATTGTATCAGTTGATCGATCCGGCGTCTATTAGAGGCCCGGCTTCTATTTTTTGCACTGAACAATTGACCCGGCATCTATTAGAGGCCCGGCGTCTAATAGAGGAAATACAGTTATCAGAGTTGAGTCAGCATTATTCAGTGTCCTTGTTGTGTTGCAGAGAGAGTTTGCCATGATGTCGGTGTTGGCCGGGAGACAGCTGGCAGGTCACTCCAGGGTGCTGTCCTGTCTCCTCCCTGTCACTGCTCAGGGCACCTGCTATCACTGGTCAAGCTGCCAGGGACATTCTGACCAATGGGCATCAACAAGAGGACAGGTCAAAGACTGGAAGCATGCCCCCAAGAACCATCTAATTCCAAACTATGTAAATGTCCACACATCAAGTAACTCTCTCATATCAAGACATTTTGAACATGGGAAACATCCATTAAGACGAATTCCTTATCAAGACTTGAAGAACAGTTTATCAGTGGAGCATGGATCAAAGATGCAACTGAAAAAGTTTAGGGCGATGTCACCAGCCTTGGGACAAGATGTCTCAACCTCTTCTCCATCGCGGGCGTTTCATTCCCTGCGCCGCCCACAGCAAGTGTTCCAGCCCCATCCACTCCTGAACACACGACACGGATTGGTCAGTACAAGACGTCCAATCAGCTTCACCACCTCCATCCTCGAGTCCTCGCCGCAGTCGGTAAAACCTTACCTGAGGCTCATCCGCTTTGATAAGCCTATAGGTAGGGCATCAGGTCATACTAAGCTGATACTTCTGGTTACTTAGTGAGTGATATATTACATGTGACAAGTCAGTCATCAGTTATCAGTGGATCATTCCCAATATTGATGGACCCATGAAGATCCGGAGTAGAATAGGTCTTCAGGAACCCATGCTTGCCGTAAAAGGCAACTATGCTTGTTGTAAGAGGCGAATAACGGGAACGGGTGGTCAGGCTCACTGACTTGGTTGATGCATGTCATCGTATCTCAATTGCATGGATTGATGCTCATGATGTCAATCACTGGGTTGTCTGGTCCAGACTTGATTATTTACAGACCACCATCATAAAGCTGAAATATTGCTGAGTGCAGCGTTAAACAACAAACAAACAAACAAACACAATATCAAGCACTGGGTTGTCTGGTCCAGAATCGATTATTTACAGGCTCGCCGTCATGTAGCTGAAAAGTTGCTGAGTGTGGCATTACCATGATTAAACAACAAACAATCAAATCCTCAAGTATCCATTGTATTATACAGAGATCTCCGTTCTTGTTTGATTTATACCCTGGACCCAATTGCTACCGCTGCTTTGTTTTTTTACTGACTCGAACAGCACAACACTAAATATAGCCATCCAATCAAGTTACGCTTATGAGCGAAAGAAATTGAGTATGAAGTTATACATAGTAGTGATGAAGGTGGCGACGTGACTTCCAAGACGAAGCTATGGTGGGAAATGGAGTATTTATCATAATAGAATGGAGGAATATGATACAGAGGATAATTGAGGATGCAGTGTTATGTGTTTTGTGAGCTTTACAAAACCAATAATGACCAACTTTACTCCTGTTTACACTCAATATAGACTTACAATGGTCTTACACTATAATTGTCGTAACTCGATCAGTGTCCGGAATAACTGCCTGTCTGCGGCTGGTGACTTTTCTGTCAGGCTGCATGAAATTTCCCTCCACCTGCCCGAGTGTCTGTCAGATAATTTTGGAACTAATTACATATTCAGTATTCCTTGTAGATTCTCTAGTAAGTGTTTGAATTATTTCAACTACCGTATTCAACGAAAATAAGCGCCCTGCTCGAATAAGTGCCCACAATCCCAATTAGCACCCCTTTCGATTGATCAATGTACACAAGACTTAATTATGGGAAATTAAATTCTGGAAAAATATATCTGTCGTATATAAACATTTCAGGCTGTCAGCATAAACCACAAAATTTACGATCTTTCAACTCTGTTGTTTTTCACCAAAATAATATTCTAATATGAGCTTCCTATTTCAAATTATTATGTTGAATACGGTAAATCAAGATGCAGTTAATAGTGGATGAAACTACGCTTTCATTGGTCAATCTAGTTTTAATTTAAGTGTATTGGGATTGATATTAAGACACATAATCAGAAATACTTCTTAGGGTCTCTATGCATTTAAATTCATTAATGTCTGAATGCGGGCAGGGAATTGAACATGGGCATATAACATTGATGGGTCACCTGCCCGAATATCTTTTTTTGTTTTATTATTATTTCGAACACTGAACTCTATACTTTCCACAAAGCGATCCTAGCTCTAAGACCATCATTGGTCCGATTCTTTAGCTGAGACTTGCAGTAACTCCAGCAGCTTCTACAGTTGTTGGGCTCTGGGGTGGCCTAGTGGTTAAAGTGTTCGCTCATCACGCCGAAGACCTGGGTTTGATTCCCCATATCTGTACAATGTGTGAAGCCCATTTCTGGTGTTCCCCCGCCGTGTTATTGATGGAATATTGCTAAAAGTGGCATAATACTATACTCACTCACAGTTGCCAGTGTCTGTGAAAAGAATGCCTCTGTCCCATGCAGAAACCTTAGACTTATTATTATGAAAACAGCAGGTACCTATCTCAACCCATATTTGAACCCAGGACCAAGTTGTCCATCTTCCCGAGGCAAGGGAGTTAACTGACTGTAAAAGTGCAGTTTCCACCCTTGCGGAACTAGGCCAAAATTTATGGGTTCGATCCTAGCGCCACTAGTGGCTATTATGAGTTATGTCCCTTCTGTGTCCCTCCTATTGACCAATCAGATTCCACTTCTCATATCACTTGCATTTGCTTCAAACAATATGGCAGCGCCCAGTCAAGACAATCTGATCGAGAATCGAGATCTATATTGTAATGTAACGATCTTCCTTGGCGAAGTGCATCAAATCACGTGAGCACCTTGATTAAAATCATGAAGAGATTTGGAAAATACCTGTTGACGCTAAGTTGACGGTACACCTGCTTTCCTAATCCTGCAATCGACCGAAATCTGCCTGGCAGTTTACGAACTAGATGGTAATTTCCCAATGCAGTTAGATTGGACTATAACTCATTACTCCAGCTAAAATATACCTCCGTAATTCCAGCCTATTTCAGCAAGGGGGGAAAGTGGACTTTTATGGTCTGTTCACTCCCTTGCCTCGGCAAGATGGGGTGTCGGGCAGGGCCATCTTTGTAATGGACGTGTCTGTGTGCCTGCAGGGACCTACCTGCTGTACTGGCCGTGTACGTGGAGCATCGCTATGGCTGCTGACCCTGGTCACCTCCCTGACCCCTACTTCCTGGTCATGTTCGGAGCAGGGTCCTTCCTCATGCGGGGCGCGGGCTGCATCATCAATGACATGTGGGACAAAGACTTTGACAAGATGGCGAGTTGTGTTGTCTTATTATTCTTAATAATAATCACATTATTATTGATCTCTTGAATTGGGGTGGTGGGGTAGCCTAGTGGTTACAGTGTTCGCTCGTCACACCGTGGACTTGGGTTCGATTCCCAAAATGGGTACAATGTGTGAACCCATTTCTGGTGTTCCCGCTGTGATATTGCTGAAATATTCCTAAAAGCGGCGTAAAACAGTACTCACAAATGCCATGAAGAATCCTAGGGTAGCATCTGCTGGTCTGGGTTCAAATCCCAGCTTCCACACTTGGACTGTCAGCACCATTCTCATATGGTCATATGAGTTTATGCTTTTTTCTCACACCGAGCTGACAACATCGTTTCAAAACCTAACTCACTCACAGATTTTTTAAATAGCACATTCAACACAATTAGCAAAAAATGTTGATGTTTATTTAGGATTAACAAGTAATTCCTGAGGACCCAATCTTGCACATGAATAAAATTTTCATAATGCTAGAAGAAGCTATAAAAGGAAAACATATAAAAAAATAAGTAAATGAATCGACTTTTGATTAATGTTTGCAGGTTGAAAGGACAAAGACTCGCCCTTTGGCATCAGGAGAGCTAAGTTCTTTCCAGGCGTTAGCATTGCTTGGAACTCAGCTTGGTCTGGCCCTTGGTATCCTGCTACAGTTCAACACATACAGGTAATGTTCACATTGAAGCATAAGACTGCCTCCGTTGCCTCCGTTGTCTAGTGGTAGAACGTCAATCTGGAGAGCGGAAGGTCGGGGTTTGATCCCCGGCCTCGTCATACCTAAAGACTTGTTACCCTGCCTGGCGCTGGGCATTAAGGGGCTAAAACAAGATCAAGGCTCGGAATCAATATGCTGTTTCTCAGTGGGGTATTCATGTTAATCTGTGGCATGGTATCTTAGTGGGCTAGCAGGTTCACATCAACACATTCAGGCATGTTCAGGTAGTTTCTTTGTACAATGCCGCACTCAGCAATATTCCAGCTATATGACAGCGGTCTGTAAATAATCGAGTCTGGACCAGACAATCCAGTGATTGACATCATGAGCATCAATCTATGCAATTAGGATAAGATAACAATTCAGTGAGCCTGACGACCCGATCCCTTTAGTCGCCTCTTACAACAAGCATAGTTGCCTTTTACGGCAAGCATGGGTTGCTGAAGACCTATTCTACCCCGGATCTTCATGGGTCACATACAGGTAGTGTTCACATTAACACATACAAATGAGGTTCACATTAACACATACAAATGAGTAAACTGACTGGTGGGGGCTTCACCAGTAGATATGTAGCTATAGGAAGCAATAGTAATAGTAACTAGTTTCGTGCGGCTTGCGCTCATCAGACTGATTGCTTAGGGGCGTGTGCGTCCTTAAATACCTGAATATACCGGCGAGGTCGTTTATTGCATGATGTGTAAGCCTGTCATTGGTTGTTATGACGGATAAGCGGTGTGTTATAGTGACATGCCGTTAGTGGGTCGCCGGTGGTGTGGCGTAAAATGTAGTTGCCGGTATTGGCGATTGACGTGTGCTCCCGCGAATAGTGGTCACCGGTGGTTGTATGTGGCTTTGTAACTGTATAATGTGTTTAAAGACTGGTGGGTCGCCGGTGTAAGTATGCTTGTCGTACCAAATTGATGTTTTGGTCGCCGGTGTTATTGCCGGGTAAATGAAGGTGGCCTGGGTAGGTCGCCGGTGGCGGTCGTAAGTGGTCGCCAGTTTTGTGAAGAAGTGACCGGTGGCTTGCCGTTTTTTTTATCAGACGCCAATTTGGTTGTGAGGGTAGTTAGTAGAACACTGATTTGTTCTAAGCGACACAGTTATTTATTAGCAAAGCTATTATTAGGCAAGGATACGAGATTGTATCCTTGGTGAACATAATGAATATTAATTGTTCGACATAGTATGTTGTAAGTGTCATACTGGTGATAAGGAAAACGAAACATTTGAATAAAAGGTGAAATAAACAATGTACAAATAATGAGTCCCGAATTGGGGTAAGAAGGACATCGGTGGGGCACACTGAGTGAGTCTCAAACATGTGGTTGAGTATGCTGGTCACTGGTAGCTGGAACCGACAGTGTCAGTAACATGCTAGTGTTAATAATGTCCGTGTGGGTGGCTCCGGGTTGGAGTTCCCTAAATTCTTCTAAAATAGTATCTAGTTCGGCAGCTATGTCACCGGTTTGGCTTTTTGAGGTGTTCCCGGTTCTGTTGAGGGAACACCTTCCACGGTTCTGTGTCCAGGTCGCCCCCTGCAATCACATAATTGTCCCATTTAGTGAATGGTGGCACCGGTATCCAGGGAAATGGAAAGCGATGGGTAGTTGTGTAGGAATTTTCACTCACGTTATTGTTGTGGCAGGACTGTCCTCTGGATTTCTTGATTAGAAAATCACCCGTAGTGTAATTGGCCTCCAGGTAGGGTCCATGTATACGCTTGACGTGTGCCCTGGCATCGTCGGGCCTCTTGAAGGTTTTGGTGCAGATTGTGCACTGGATACGTATGGAAGAGTGGGTGGCGCTAAAATGGCGGCGCAAACTATCCCTTCAGGTGTAGTTTTTTCCACATGCAGCGCAAGAGTGTATGACCGACATCTTATTAGGCTGATTGTTTACAGACGATAGACTGTTCGTCATGATGTGATGACGTCACGTAGCCTGGGTGTGTTGGTGTAATTGTGACGTCACAATGCGTGATTGGCATTGTTGTGTGACCGGCTTGTGCTAGAATTGTCGACTGAGAATGGGGCTGATTTATCAGAAAGTAAAACAACAAGTTGACCAAAGGGGGGAATTAATCAGCCAACCATTCTGTCATTGAGACCGTGCGGGTGGAACGTTTTTAGCTCAAATATCCAGCTCAGTTCGAGTGCTCTCCTCTAAACTGTGGTGTCAGTAGACTCAGGGTTTTCCTTGAGCTGTGCTATGATGTTATATCTAACATCTTTGGTGCTGTGATCATCACTATTGAAGTGATAAGCTACAGGTTTGTCTCTCTTGTAGCTGATGTCTGCAAAGTGTTCTTTCAGTCTAGTCTGAAATTCTCTTTTGGATTCTCCAACGTATTGTTTCTTGCATTTGTTACAAGTAAGCAAGTAAACTATCTTTTTACTTGTACATTTAAACTTGTGGGTTTTGAAATTTTTGCCTAATGTCGATCTGCGAAACATATGTGTTTTGCTTAAGGAGTTGCAGATTTTGCATCCTTCTCTTTTGCAACTCGCATTTACGAAGTTGACTACCTTGCCGCTAATCTGCGGTTTGGTGGTGGGTAGTGTAGTACTGTCCTGACTAGGTAATCCTTTATGGTAGGGTTCCTTCTGTAGGCCGAGACATGGGGAATTGAGAAGCAACTTTTGCAAGTGTCAGAACCGGTGAGTAAATGCCACCGGTTTCTGATGATCCTGTTGAGCTCCATGTTCAATGGATTGTAATCGCTAATGAGCACCTGTTTCCTGATTGGAGCAGGTTTGGGTTTGGTTGCTAAGAGTGATTCTCTTTTGCAAGCGTCTGCCCGGCATTTATTTTGTTGTAGTGTTTTATTAGGGTAACCCCTTTTGAGGTAGTAGTTGATAAGATTTCTACTATGTGTATCATAATCTGATTCAGAAGAGCAGATTCTCTTGGGTCTCAGGAATTGGCTGAATGGCCCGTTCGTTTTGATATGACTGGGGTGACAAGACGTGTACAACAGATAGGAGTGTGTGTCCGTGGGTTTGTTATATAAAGTGAACTGCAGTTTGCATTCCTTTTGGTTGAAAGAAACCCACATGTCCAAGAAGGCCACTTTATTCCTGGAAAATTCTGCGGTGAATTTAATGGAATGGTGTGCATTATTAAGAAAGTTAATAAATGCAGCTAGGCGGGTTTCCCCTAGTGTCCAAATAATGAAAATGTCGTCAATAAATCGGGCGTAGAAGTCCGGCTTATCATGGTGCCCAGATAGGAGTTGAGTTTCCAATTCTCCCATAAAAATATTGGCATAGGACGTGGCGACTTTCGTCCCCCATAGCTGTGCCTCCAACTTGTAGATAATGTTGGTTATTGAACACAAAATTGTTATTGTGTAAAACGATTTTTAGTAGAGAGAGTAAACCGGTTTGGCGAAATTTGCCAATCTGGTTTAAACTTACGAATGGCTTGTGCAACGGCTCTAAGGCCTTTGCCGTTTGGAATGTTGTTGTACAGCGAGGTGACATCCATGAAAATGTCGTCAATATATCGGGCGTAAAAGTCCGGCTTATCATGGTGCCCAGATAGGAGTTGAGTTTCCAATTCTTCTTACCCCAATTCGGGACTCATTATTTGTACATTCTTTCTCCTTTGTCAAATAATAAAACACAACACGTGTTTATTTCACCTTTTATTCAAATGTTTCGTTTTCCTTATCACCAGTATGACACTTACAACATACTATGTCGAACAATTAATATTCATTATGTTCACCAAGGATACAATCTCGTATCCTTGCCTAATAATAGCTTTGCTAATAAATAACTGTGTCGCTTAGAACAAATCAGTGTTCTACTAACTACCCTCACAACCAAATTGGCGTCTGATAAAAAAACCAGCGAGCCGCCGGTCACTTCTTCACAAAACCGGCGACCACTTACGACCGCCACCGGCGACCTACCCAGGCCACCTTCATTTAACCGGCAATAACACCGGCGACCAAAACATCAATTTGGTACGACAAGCATACTTACACCGGCGACCCACCGGTCTATAAACACATTATACAGTTACAAAGCCACATACAACCACCGGTGACCACTATTCGCGGGAGCACACGTCAATCGCCAATACCGGCGACTACATTTTACGCCACACCACCGGCGACCCACTAACGGCGTGTCACTATAACACACCGCTTATCCGTCATAACAACCAATGACAGGCTTACACATCATGGAATAAACGACCTCGCTGGTATATTCAGGTATTTAAGGACGCACACGCCCCTAAGCAATCAGTCTGATGAGCGCAAGCCGCGCGAAACTAGTTACTATTACTATTGCTTCCTATAGCTACATATCTACTGGTGAAGCACCCACCAGTCAGTTTATCTATTTATTTCTGCGACACCTTTAGGTATGTCGACCCTTATCACGCCGGCCCCGTCCATCTCGAATTTCGAGAGCTCTACTTCCATCACCACGGAAATAGAAGTTGATGTCCATCTAGACCAAGATGGAGGCAATCCTTTAAAAAGGAAACGGATCACATTCGGTAACATCCCCGCCAACACCGGCGTTGGGACCAAAGCAGTGTCTTTACCCCCGGATCTTATGCAATCATACAAAGATCATCTTAACGCAGTCAGCAAACGTGCACGCACCCAAGTACAGTCAGAATACTTAGGTGCTTGTATCACAGGTGGACTGGTACCAGACCAGTTTCTTCATCATACCACCGGCTACACAAACCACGTACCCCATGGATCTCGCCCTTCAGCGCAGCAATGCTGTTAAGACTTGTTGTACCACACTCATGAGTACACAAAAAGAACTTTTAGAACGCCAGCTTGTTTCCGTCAACGAATCAGTGAAACTCTTGGAAGATAAAATTATCTCCAAAGCGGATCAACACTCTCAAAACATCATCAACACTGCTTGTCAAGCAGTCAAAGACAGAGAGCACAAGTCCACACATGAAAAATTCAA